TGTTGGCTCAAGCCTGAAAACTTTTTTCTAACCTGAAAGCTTTTTTCTAGAAAAAGAGGTGCCGGAACTCACCACGAACACCTTCATTCTCTTAGAATGGCAATGGAGCTCACCTGAGAGGTGCTGGTACTGACTTCCAGTGAGTTTTGGCAGAAAAAAGGCTTGCTGAAAACTAGCCAAAGTGTAGCAGGCCTTCAGAAAATCCCATTCCCAGAGTATTTGTGTAGTGTAGGTGACATCATTCGGGAAGAATTTCAATCCATAATGCCCCTTAAGGCACTCCATCCAACTTTGTTTAAAATTACAAGGGCTTGAGAGAAGAGCCTGCAGAGAAGCAAGCCATGCATATATACCGTAGATGTGGGGATATCAATAATAGAAGCCCCAGCAGTTCTCTAATCCTGCTACAACAACCTTATCCCAAGACAAATTGAGGCTGTTGGCGGTACACAGGTGGGCAACCAAAACATGTGGCAAACCCTGTTAGGAGGCAAGCATTCATCTCCAGACACAAATCAACCTTTCCCTTTACTCTCTTGATAGAGCAGATAATTACAAAACCTAGGAGAGAAATGATGCAGAAATTAGCTGCTGGTTCTCAGTTCCTGGTAACACAAAAGTCTGAAACAGAGCAGTTTAGTTACTAAGGAACTAAGAATCCAAAATAAGCTTTAATCTAACCCATATCATAAACACATGTTAGAGATCCACAATAACTTTCTCCAATCAAAACCATATTTTTTGCACAGTGTTTGTATATGATGAACTCAGATTACAATTACAAATAAGGAACTGGGGGTGGGGGTGCCCCACTCAATGAGCTTAGTTTTGATCTTTTATGGAAATAACGAACTGGAAAGGAATAAGTAAGTAAATTCAGCATTGTGGAGAGGAATTCTTTTGAGGGGAGAGGAAAGGTTACAAAAAGTATGCATGGAATTATTTGTGCTAAACCACATAAAGAATTATCCAAGACAAGTGAGCCATCAAATCAAAATTTTCCTGCTTTCAGCAAATACTTTTCTCCAATTAACACGGAACTATTCACCCTTCTAAATCAAGCAAGATTGCAAAACTGAATGCGTAATTGACAGATTCGTAAAAAAGACCAAAAAAAACAAAAAAACTCAAAAGTGCAAGATAGTTGCACAATGGTATTCAATTACTAGCTCATCATAGGCATCTGTTTTGCATCTTGTAAAAGATGTCCCCTAAAATGATAAAATCACTTCTTCTTTTAAAGACTAATGAAGTACATTTTACTGTGGAAAAAATGAGTGCAATAGGCAAGAGAATAACTTATCAGGAAAAGTTATATCCAGCTGATTAAACTTTCTGGAAGCTACTTCTGAGCACCAGATGCTATAAGCAAGCTATTTGCGGCTACTAAAATATGCACAAGCACGGGCTTGCTTTAATTAAGCTTTTGGTGTCATTTCATTTGTATCTGTTCTCAAGAATTTTCTTGCTTTTTATTTAGTCTGCCTTTAACTATTAAGCTCCAGATGTAGTTTGCATTTGGACTAAGCTGATGTACAGTAATTGCACGTTAAGCTTCAGTTTACAGCCTACGTAAATAACAAGCCAAAGACAGACTCAATAAAAGGAAACTTAGCACAGCCAGAATTGGGCAGTAAGGAATCAGGAAGTCTAAGCAATATTGCAGCCATGTGAGCTTAAGGATATTTCAATCTGCCGTGTGTAAAGGACTGGTTACAGGCTCAACGTGAGGCAGAGTGCACTAGAAGCCATTTCCATTTTAGAAATAAGACACTGGAGTATTTCATTGCAAATCAGGATGTGCCTGCAGCATTTGGCAGGCATTTCTAGAACCCACAGCACAGCAGGGTTCTGATCCTGGTTCATTTTCTTCTCAGTAAACTGTCGAGTTTCTGGATTGAACCATTCACTTTTGATATCTTAGGAGGAAACTAGTATTGCACTGGCTGAAGAGGAAACTAGTATTGCACTGGATGAACTAATAGGAAGTGTCTATTTTCAATAAGTTTTACTTTTTATCCTGGAACGTACTAAGTAATTACTTCTTGCTTGACTTCGCTCTTGGTTGAGAAAAACTAAAGAGAAAGTAAGATGTACACAGTCCATCATTCTTCAAAGAATCATCCCGGTCTTGTTTCTTTGCACTTCGTTTCACCTTGGTAATACTTTGACACCATCAAAACCTTGGCACCAATCCTGTGGTGTCAAGAGTGGTCAGAGACTGGATGAAGGTGATGAAGGTGGAGGTCAGGGTGCCCACATAAGCACATTATCAGGGAAGATCAGATTGCTCATGCAGATGGAAAATATATGAAAAGGCTCCCAGATTTGTTGGGAGGGTTTTGGTTCCCTTGGCAAACTCCTTTGAGTAAATCCACAGTGTCCGCTAGAAATGATTCTCACCATCTCCTTCTGGTGAGAAGGCTGCATACTCATACCTTAACTCAGAAACCATTATTCATGTCCTACAAAATCAAATAATATCACAATGTGTGCCTGCTCTTGAAGACCAAAGCCAACATAAAATATAGCAGCTACTAGAGGTTTAAAATGCTCTGGTTTCAAATCATGGAAATGATACAAAACCATGAAGCTTTAAAAGACTTAACGCACATATGCCTTAGATACACATAAAGGATACATATATATAGAAGGCATTTTATGCAAGTTGAAGTTATAGAAATACTTTTATAAATAAAATAATGTAGAGATGAGATCTTGATGGATGGCCCTTAAGAAAGGCCAACATCAGACCATAAGCATCTTCAACAGAAAATACAAGACTTTGGGCTGGGATACTCCATAAGTATTAAGATAGAAGGAAATGTGTCTGACTTCTGAAATTTAATTTCATATTTTATCTCCTCTTAACGCTGTCAAGCAAAAATGAAAGTATGTGTTCAGGAAAAGTTTAATAAGTTTGGCACCTACTTTTGGTATTGGGAAAGATGTGGGAAATAGAAGAGATATGGATTGTGTTGAAAATCAAACGCTAAAGGACTTGCCTGAATGGGTAACATGCAAATTGGTTGAGGGCTCTGCAATAACCATTATCGGATCCTGCAATCTTTCTGTTAGCATGAGACTACGGAACCGCTGACTTGAGCGTAATCACAAACACTAAACTTGCATCTTTTAATGGATCACTTATCCCTCCTGCCTTAAGGAACTGGAAAATGGCTAAAAGAAGGTAGTCACTGAAGGCCAGACTGCAGTCTCAGCAGATCCAAGTGGGGTTAATAGCCAGGTTTTTCTTCTTTCCTTGGAAAATGTTTGAGTGCAGACAAAATGCTAATCAGAAGGCGAATGTCTTCAATGCCTGGTAATAGAATACTCGAACTAACAATTAATGAGGCTTGCAGACCACCCAGCCTGTAATTGGGCAACAATGCTATCATTAAACTAATAACAGCATTGTGGGGATATTACCATGCTTTGGCACTTTGCAAGCATCATTCAGAGTCAGTTAAGGAACCAATAAGCACAGCAATAAAAGGAAAATGAGTTCACAGTAGCCAAATGGGTTAAAAGAAAGAAGAGCTTTTAACAAGCATGTGAGAGGGCACAGAAGTCCACTAGGAAAGTTGGGATTGATGCAACAGCAGATTTTGCGGTGGACTTTATTTATACACTATTTCCAGAACACACACACAAATGGGGGAGGGGATATTGGGGGGGGATGAAGTGGCTATGGAATTACTGTTAAATTTAAGGAAATACTTGAATGGATAATGCGAACACGCAATTGCTTCATTTTAAATAAGGTAAAGAAAAAGAAAAGAGTTACAATGCAAACCTACGGACTTCTCAGAAGAAAGTCCATTTGAGCATACAACTTAAGATACCAATACATATACAAACACAGGAGGTGTAGGCTTGAAAGGGACCATATATGGCTTTGAAGTAATGAACTACCTTAATAAAAAAACAAGCATAACCACAAAGCTTTTGTGATTCTCTGCAGTATATTTGACTGGGACTTTAGAAAAGTATACTGCAATGTATTCCATCTGAGACCTCTGAACAGTAAAGAGAGGGTGAACAACTTCATTTTGTAGATGGTGAAACTGAGCCAAAAACCCCCAGAGAAGTTGACAAAGTTATTTTCTGTGAATTAATTGCCACTGTTAAAAAATTTCTCTTCACAGGGGTCTCAGAAATTCTGCAAGTATATATTAGAATTCACATGGATAGCACGTGGCATTATAAAGCATCTTTAAAACACACCTGTTTGTTTCCCTTTTACATTTGTGTGCACATGTTTTGTTGCTTAGAGTCACATTTAGAAACCTACACAAAGTGACAGAAAATCCTCAGAACTGGGAATCTGGCAGCACTAATATGGAACAGTTTGTTTTATTCAGTTTCACACTTCTTTATCAATATTGGTTTTAGAGTTATATTAAAGACAGTACACACCTCCACATCACCTGTGTTGATAACACGTGGGTTTTAGCTTTTAAAAAATATTGAAGACAGTTCTACCCAATTCCTCTCCTTCTTTCATATGTGTCCCTTGCCCGCAAAAGGTTGTAGACATGGTTTTTGAGGATTAGGCATTGGGCATGTTGTTTTTCGACGTCCTAAGGACCAACAAGCCACTGGGTTTCTTGACTGTGACACTTTTGTACAGTTCCCAAAGCTCTTGCTGAAGCCAAGAAACTTCCTGGTGGGGATTTGATCTGAAATGATCTTCAGGGTTATGAAACTGGCAACATGTCTGCTACACACCATGGAGTACTTACAATAATTTGTGACATTCACAGAGAAGACACTATGGGAGATAAATAGCATATTATTTTGACAAAAAAGTTGAGGCTTGCTCTGAAAAAAAAATCAAAAAATGATAGACATGTTTGTCCAGAACTCCCTAAATATAATTTATATAATAATAATAGAATGCTAAAATGTTTCAACACAGGCAAAGAAAGCAATATGGTTAATTAAGAATGAGGTTGAGAGAATTCAGTACCTGGCTGTGAAAATCATATTCTACTTACCAGAAGGGTTTCCACAGCTATCCTCATCACTGTTGTCATGGCAGTTATCCTGATTGTCACACATAAAGCTTTTATCAATGCACAAGCCGTTCCTGCAGTGGAATCGGTCAGTAGAGCATATCAAGGGATTCGCTGCTGTAAAAACAAAAGGAACAACATTTTGCTCTAAACTTGAGACTTCACCCAAACAGGCAAGGGATTTCCAAGGGAAATCCCATACAGTACAGTGGTACCTCATTTTTCAAGCATCTTGGAAGCCGAATGTTTCAGTTTTTGAACACCGAAAACCCGGAAGTACTTGCTTCCATTTTCGAACACGCCTCAAAAGTCGAACGGCTTCTGCTGCATGTTTTTCTTTTTCTCCACTGACTTTGCTGACTGTCCTTTGCCCCTCGGTTGCCAAACATTTCGGAACTCAAACAGTCTTCCAGAACTGATTGCGTTCGACAACAGAGCTACCACTATACATGAGTCAAATGTTAACCTGTCTGTTTCCATAGGACAACACTTTACTACATTCAGCATTTGCTCCTTAGGGAAAGGCACTTTTCAAGAAACACAGCGCTCCACAGAACAGAAAGCTTTGTTCTACTGCAACCAACCCAGCAACTAAATTTTAATATGTGCATCTGAAACAATCACATCTTTCTATCTCTTTATGCCTGTCCCCACCTCTTGTATTTTCCCTATGTCAATTTTTTATATTGTCTGCACTTTCCTGATGTATGGCAATGTGAGCAGCAGGCCGTAGCAAAAGCCAGAAAGCCACTGCTCAACAAAATGGCAAGCAGGATAGAGACTGAGGCTCGAGAACAAATATTTAAAAGAAAACAATTGGGGGAAAACAGAATGGGAGGAGAAATATATAAACAGACAGGCAAACAACTTTCTTTTCAACCAAACCAAAATTTCACTTCACCAGTACATAAAATGTATCGTACATACATACGTACATACATCATACAGTGGCAACAGTTCTACCAACCACAGTGGCAGAAAGACTGCATGATGATATAAAATCATTACATGTCTTGAGATGCCAGGCAAAAACATTCTTCTTTACCCTTCTTTAAATAAACTATGGCTTCTTAAATGTGTATGCGTGGGGGGACTGTTGTTATATTTTATTATGTTGCATAAATTATGCTCTTAATGTTGCACACTCCCCTGGGATCTTTAGATAAAGGGTGGTATATAAAGCAAAATAAAAATAATAAAAATATTAACAACAACAATGGGCGTGAGGAAAATGTATTTCATATTTGTGCTGCCTCTGTAAGGCTAAACAGAAACATACATTGTTTTTTAGTTGACAAGGTCAAGGAACAACATGACTCAGGGGACATCTCAGAAGATGCAGTGGAAAGAAATGTTAACAGAGATGGATGGGGGGGGGAGAATAAAATATAGCAATATGGAATTGCACAGAATGACAGTCATTAAGACCCCTATGTGGCAAAGATAAATGAGGCTTTAAAAAAAACAACCCACTGCCAACAACATGCACTTTTATACACTGTGGCATTTCTTTTGTCAAATAACGAATAATCTTATTTTATAAAAGAAATGTTCCTTACAGGTAACTTAAATGGTATGAATTATCATTCTGAACTTCATCTGTTCACGAGCCGCCCTATTGTGACCTTAACATTTAAAAGAGATCAGCTACAAAGAGAAGTGCCTTGTAAACTTGGAATACAACCATGGATTTCAAAAGCAAAACTGCAATAGAGATAAGCTACTCATCTACATAAACTCCAGGATTCTCCAGAGGTGTTGGGGCTTATGTTATTCTAGAGAGAGTTTTCCATTTATAAAATCAGTTTGCCTCTGATGGGTTCTGCCACTAACAAAGCCAAATACTTGTAAATAGCAGCAAGGATTGTGGTGCTGAATTTGGGCTTCGGGTATTAATAAAATATATTTAATTACTTTATTTACGAAAAAGGGGAAACCTGCCCACAAGTAGAAATATACTTACTGCAGTTTTCTTCATCGCTGCCATCAGGACAGTCCGCAAAACCATTGCATCGGAAGCGGCCAATGATACAGTGAATTCCACTCGCACAGGGGAAGAAGGTGGAGCCACACTTAGATTTGGCTTTTGCTGTAGGAGGAGAAAATATGGGTGGTGAAAGAGCTCCCTCTGTCAGAGCTGGTCACAAGTGTCTCAGACTTTTCCAGTAAGGATTTTCCCAAAGCTTAGTTTAAATGTTTAGTAACAGAATTAATGTCAAAGCCAAAGAGTCACTTTTAATTAATGTTAAAGTGCAATAGTTACTTCCGCTTGCTTGGCTGGTGATACACAGGTGTGTGTGTGTGTTTTTAAGCCATCAATATAGCATAGGGCTAGGCCACTACTGTATTGGTGCTCTAGTCATTTCAAGCTTCCTTAAATTTCCCAACCAGTTTTAACCCACAAGACATCCCAGTGTTTGAATTGTCACCAGGATTTAATCATTCTGACCACTGTTTTCTGACAATATGACAATCAGCCAGACTCTGATTCAAACTTCACAGCAGTTGCACAGGAATTCTTGCCATTTTCCCAGCTCTATAGTTCCATAGTTTGGAGGAAGGCTGGGGATTATTTGGCAGATGCATAATCAAAGTGTTTAAAGAGACTTGGCCATTCAGAGCCAAACAGGCAAGCCTATCTTTTCTGTCTAGAACAGGCCTGAAGGCATTGGGTGTACCTGCTTGAAGATGCCCTGTGCCCACCTGTCTCTCCCTTGGGATGGATGAGCTGGTTTGGGAGAGATGGAGATTTGAAATGCCTTGCCTGAAAGACAAGGCCAGCAGGAAGTGCGAACTTAAATTGTAGGCCCTGGCACTTAAGATTTCAATTCAACAGATACGAAACAGTTTGCTATATATTAATGAAAAAAAAGACTTCAGGGAGGCCCAACCCTTGACTCTATAAAGCAAAAGGATGAGTAACTTATGTCCCTCTAGATGTTGCTGGACCAGCTCCCATCATCCCTGACCACTGGCTATACTGACTGGTCAACAATACCTGGAGGAACAGAATTTCCCAACCCTGGACTAGTTGCTGCAGAAATCACTGCATAAGAACATGATTTGGGGGGGGGCAGAAAGAACTGGGAGCAACAGAGCATCACACAGCAATTACAACTACACTGTTCCTTGAACAAGGCACACTAATGAAAAATCACGAGCAAGACATCCTCCTTCCAAAAATGTATTATTTGAGAGACAAAGTGGTAACCTTTGTACCACATTTTATTTTTCCACAGCCTTTCAAGCTCATCAAGAAAATTTCTCAAACCACCTCATCAAGATCTGTTCTGCACAGCTTCTGGCCTCTTTGACACTTTCCTCTTCTATTCCAAAATCACAGCTAGAAAGTCACCCAAAAGCATATCATTTAGAAACCTTAAGTGTAGTTATTTAATGGATTCAGAACTGGCTAAAACAAACCAAGGAGATAGATTATAATAGTACGTTTGCATAGGTAATCCATTAGCAGTGAACTGAGAGATAGGTTTATTCTACAGCGAAGAGGTTTCTTTCCTGGGTCACATGAAAAAGAACCCACTTTTCTGAAAGAGACTTAATTATATGATTCATGTGCTTAATGCATTTGTAACCCATCTTCCCAGTAAAAATCCCTCTCAAAATGGATTACAACTTTAAGCAAACAATAATATAAATAATGTAAAAATACAATTAAAATGCATCCAAACACATAATAACAGCAGCACATAAGACACATAAAATACCAGACCAAAAAAAAGTGATAAAAGTGAGCCAGACAAAAAGGTTTTCAAGGGCTGCCTAAAATGAGCCCCCCCCCCCCGTGTGTGTGATATCATGCTCTAGAATCCCTGTAATATTACTTAACTAGCATTATCAGTGAATATGCAGTATATAGAATTTCATGCAACATAAGCCCTATTCAGCTGACTTAAACGGGAGATAATCAGTCTGTAGAAAGAGAATTATGCCCACAGACTCTGTCTCCAGCTCTCACAACTATGTAAGTCTGTGCAGAAGAATTAAAGGTGAGACTTGTAGGTACAGTATAATTTTCTCTTCACACCTTTTAGTTGGCTGAATGAGGCTATACTTTTTTTTCAGCTTGATGAAGCAGTCTTAATGTTGCAAGAAATTCTCTGTACTGCAGATGTACTGAAAATACTATATACACCATACAAGTCTACATGCTAAATGCAATCAAAGAGACAGAACAGAACCAAAGTATGGGTACCACCTGCACATGAACGTAGCCAAAGCAAACATGATGACTTTCCTGTGTTTTGCTTAACTGAACACAGCCAGGTTTTTGCCAATGAGAAATGAGATGATTCACATTTGTATGTATCAGTCAATGATCTGCAGCATATATGTGATACTTCTCTTGAAAAACCACTATATTTGGCATATGTCCTGTCTATGGTGTTTCATCTGAGATGGTAAATTCACCAGTGCAAAATGAATCAGCAGTCACTCAGTGATGAACATGAATGTGTGAATACGCAGTTTATGAAGATCAATAAGGGAGAAATGGAGGAAGGGTCAAGGGGAAAAAAGAGAGAAGCTATGGAGAAGACAAAAGCCGAGCTTGCTGAGCAACCATTTGGACAAATATCCTTTTCAGAGCTAAAGTGACTGCCATTGAACTGAAGGCTTCTCCTGCTGGCAGGTAATAATGTATAAAGGATTTTTATTAAGAAGCAGCCACAGTAACTCTTAAACTGATTTACTATCTTTCAAAAACAAAGTAATGCAATTCCTTTATGGCACACACCCTTTGCAGATGCATTAGTCCTTAGCTGGGCTTGTAGAGCAGAAAATGAGACATATCAACTAAATGTCACTTGCACACCAGCTACCATATTTTTCTGGGCAGGAACCAAGGACAACTCAGAAATAGGAGGCCATCGTTTTGAAGAGACGAGAAAATAAATTATCTGTGAGTTACTGCTATGACATACCAATTCTAGCAGTGGAAAATTCTTAAACAAAAATACTGTATAAACAGTGAATTCTCTTCCAAATTTTAAATTAAACTGAACTATGAATAAGAATGTGTGGTTACACTGAGATCTGTTACCTCATTCAATATCCTTGTGGGAAGCAACAAGTTGATATATCCTTTAGAGTGAATGGTCTTTTTACATTTGGTTTGTGGAAACTGCAAACGCTGAATCCTACTGTCTCCAGGGTTTTAAATAAATCAGTGTTCTTAGAGCAGCCTGACTACCCAATGAAGAACTCTGAGGCCATATTCATACAACATTCCACTCCTTAATAGGTCCATGTTTCATGTATAAGCAGTTCTGATGTGGGTAGCATTCAAGCATGCAACCTTGGCTAGAAGGTCTACAGCAGAGATTACCAGCATAGTGTTCACATGTACCAGATTGCTGCCCCCCCCTGGTTTGGGGGGTTTAGAGGGTGTAGGGCTTTTTTAATGCCAGGTACTTCATTCACTCGCAGAGGAATTTTTCTGAATGTACTTGGGAGGGGGGGTTACACTCAAGTATGCTGTACGTGTGCATGAGAGAGATGCACAGATGTGTATCTATGGTATGTATGCGTGTGGTATGCATAAGAAAGCCTGAGTGTGGATATTTTCCCCAGTATTGGGGAGTACTCCCTGTAATTCAATAGCAATAGCATCATGGGGAGGAGGCACCAGTATTGTGTGATCTCCACATAAAGGATCTGCAGGAGATAGATGACTTTACACAGCAAGAATATAGTTGTCCAGGGAGCCTGAAGGGAGCAGCAATGACTGTACTCTCTCTAATTTTATGCTAGCACATGCCTACAGCAGTCATGTTGTGTTATGCCTTGTCCCAATGGCAGCCACATTTTGTGACTGGTGCCCACACAACTTTCTCAACAATCGAAATGTGCCCACTGCTCCAAAAAGGTTGGCAATGCCTGCTCTACAACATCCAACCTGCCTTCAACCCCTACCACTTCTAAAGCAGCAGAAATCCCTGTACAAGCAATGTTGAGTGGGGTAAGTATAAGAGCAGTATAGACTACTCTAAACCTAAGAAATTATTCTATGACCTCTTGTCTCAAGCACGTGGCTAGTGTTGTCCAATGGTAAGGTTGCCTTGGTTGACTCTCATAGGACAAACCTCCTCCTACAGGAACAGCCTTGTAGAAGGTAACATCGTAACCATGTCTAACTGCACATTTGTGACCCTCATATAAGCAACAGATTTCACTGGTCCCTTTCTGTAAAGTGGTTCTGAGTACACTCGGCCAATAACCAGCCACATGGTGTCATTTGATGGATTTGAATTTGAGTTATAACATGCTCTATGGCCCTCTAGATGTTATTGGACTCCCAATGCCCATCAATCTCAGACAGCATGGCCAATTATTAGGAGTGATGGGGACTATAGGCCAACGGCCTCTGGAGAACCAGATTCTCCATCCCTGCTCTAAAGACTCAGGTGCCTGAAATATGACAGAGCAGTCCTTCTGTGATCCCTGAACATCTACATCAGTGACAGTCACAGAAGTCAGGATTCTATGACTAACACAAGCCCACTACGGCATCAGAACAGATGGCATCAGGACAAGGAAAGGAGACAGAGGGAAAAGCAAGAAGCAAGGAAAGCAGCATCCATGGCACGTGACTGGGTTTTGTTAGCATATGTATATTAAGCAGGTGCCTCAGACAGCTGCCTCAGACCCATGGAAGGGAAATGTTAGAGAAAGAAAAAGAGGAAAGACTTCAATCCAGCAATGGTTGCAGCAGATCCTTGAGTGCTATGCCAAAACCAGAGCAGCAGCACTTGAATCCGTCATGGACCATAAAAGCCACCATCACTAAGAAAGCACCCCTATTTTCATAACACCTTTTCTGTTTTAAGACAAAAATGACCATGCCATTTTAAACACGATCTAATGATGCAATGACCTTTTCCACTTGCAGTTTATTTTATGATCCTTTGTGCAAGTCATCTTCCACCTGGGGGTAAAATTTCTCCATAAAACGCAGTCTGTTATAACTAAGTAGTTGTTGTTCCAATACAGAAAAGGCAAACACTACACTGTTGCCTTGGTTAGCAGTGGAACATATTACTATGTTTCAGGGCATATATATATATATATAAA